AAATTTCTTTGGCAAGAGCTTTTAATACAACAAATAATGAATCTACATCGGAGTCTAAATGAGTTAAATCGGGATAGTCTTTTGGCAAAAATTCGTATCAAGCAAGGTCTTCTAAAAGCCAATTTGGTAGAGAGTAATTAGCAATTCGAAGCTTATCCATATCTGAATTTGATATAGAAACTCAATATAACATGTTTAACGTTATATAAAGCAAAAATTTTCAACATAGACATTAGACCCATGCTTAAACGTTGGCTCTTTCAAGGAGCTGGACCACAAATAAGAGAAACAATGAATTCTTCTCTCTTCTTAAAATCATACAAAAGTCTTCTTAATCTTGGTATTCTCTTTTGTGATCAGCTACTTGACAAAAAAGGGAAAAAGCTCTTAACCTGGTAACAACTCAAGGTGGCAAAAGGCAAACCAAAAGCAGGAAAGAAAGCCAAATGGTTTATATTTCTTGAAAATACTTTGTTACAAAATCCAGAAAACAGAATGATCAAAGAAGTTTACCAAACAACTGGTCTAAACAACTTAGCACCTTTGGCATTGCTTCTATTTCTTCAGATAATAGGAAGAAAGAATGGATACTAATAAACAAGGAAAACAATAAATTAGAGCCAAGAAAGATTGTTAAGAAAGGAAAATGTAAAGTCCTTACAGAACATTGGGAGTTTAAAGAAAATAGCTCAATAGCAGGGTATGTCGAAATAGAAAAGTGTGAAGAAACATCTTCAACAAATCAGGAGGGAATTTATAGCTAGACAAGCTAGAGTAATGTTTTAACAGTAATCCCAAAGCCACTGGAAAAGGATAATCGAAAGCATATTTTAAAATATGAAAATATCCTTACTAATGTTAATAATAGGCAAAAAATAACGAGACCTAGTAAAGAAGAAAGTTTGTTTGTTAGTATACAAAACATGAAATCTTTAGATAAACAATTAATAGCAGATCAAAATTTTAATATAGAATTAGATAGTAGTTTAACTAATAGTTTAGATTTAAATAATAGTTTTAATACGAATAGCTTTTGAATATATACAGATGGTTCATTAGTGCGAAGTATAGATAATTGCAGTATAGATATTGGTTGGGTACAAGTAGATGAGAAACAAGAACGGTCATTATGTAAGGGTATGGCAAAGATAGAAAATTGGCCTTCATCAACAAAGCCCGAGCTTATTGCAATTTGGCTCGCTCTTTTTACGATTCCAATAAATAGTGATGTTTGCATATACTCAGACAGTGCAGCAGCAATCTCCAATATAGACAAGATCAAAAATGAATAGAGATTCAATAAGATCTTTAAAAGGAAAAATTGGGACATTTTAATCAAAATTGCAGATCTTATCAAAGCAAAAAAGATTAATTTGGAATTAAAGAAAATTAAAGGTCATAGTGATAACAAATAGAATGATAGAGCAGATATACTCGCAAAAAAAGTCACTTTGTTAGCAAATCTAACAAATATTCATTTGGACCTGAATACAAGAATCTCTTTCTTGCTCTTTTGGGAAGAATATAAAGTTGAAAAAACAACCAGGTCTTTTTTTAAAAAGATTTTTGAAACATGGAATGGCACGAATTGGAGACTGACAAGATTGATTCAAACCTTAGAACCCGATTCAAACAAGCCCACGCTGGATTGGTTCTTATGTTGGAAAAGGTTTAAGAAGCTCAAAAGCACAAAATATAATTCATTAAAGAAAAGCAAGAAGCTAGCTACACAATTAAAGTGTCTCTCGGAAAGTCTACTAGTCCTTAAAACTTTGGCAATAAGAAGACCAGATATTTACACAAATAATAAATGTCTAGTATGCAACATCGGTATAGTAGAGACTCAAGATCACCTAGCCAAATGCGATCACTACAAATTAATGTGGCAAAGTATCAAAAGTACAACTCTTGATCTGGTATGGTTCAAACTTACAAAAGAAGAAAAGAAGAGTTACCCAAAAAACCTTTTGTCCATGATTCTAATTGGGAAGACAGATACTGATAGGCAGAAAAAAAGAAAACTATGGATTAAAGGCCTATCCACAAAGGACTCATATAATGAAATTTTGGATCTTCTAATTTCATCAAAAACGACGTCCTATATTACAAAACTTGCTATGCACATAATTTGGAATAGCTTCTATGATTTTATTTGGAAAGATAGATATATCAAGATTGCCAACTAGGAAAAAAACCATAATATAAGGAAGAAGGATAAAAGAAGTAAGAAGACCAAAGAAGCACAATTGAAGTAGAATACTCCATCCGTTCGAAAGGAAAAAACCAAAAGAAAAAGGTTTGAATCATTTGTTAAGGATAAAGAGAAATATAATATTTGGTATGATGTAGTAGGGAATTGGATACAAAAGGGTATAAACCCCTTTTGGACAAGCTTGTAAAAGAGTTTATTTCTAGCTTATCCATAAGCCAGTGCGATAGGTTGTGCCCAGGTAATCTTTTGATAACCAGGCAAAGTTGGGCTTTTATTTAATCTTAGAAATTATGTATATAGTTGATATGTACTACAAACTAAGAGTTCGAGTCACAGCAAGACCTGTCAAAGAATAAAATAAAAAAAATAAAATAAAAATAAAAAATAAAAAAATAAATAGCAATTAATAAAAAATAATAATAAATTTGAAAAAATAAAAATTAAAGTTTATTATACAGTTAACTTCGAATATAATGAACTGACTCTATAACAAACTTTTTTTAAAAAAATATAATTTACTCTAAAAAAAAAATTTTTAAACGTTATTTTTAAAGCTAATTATAGAATATATATATACAGAGTCTTTTTTTCATTAAAGATTTAGAGTACTGAAAGCTTCATCTAATCTAATATGATCATCCAATCAGTGATCGTATTATATAACTGCGATGTGATGATGTGATGTGATGTCAATCATCACCCGAACTTTGGGGGTCTAATATTTAAATAAGCCATATAATATTTTATACCGATACTGTACAGTACAAATTAAGTTTGTACTGTACAAAATCTCTATGCCCTGGTTAAATTATATAACTAAAATTAAATTTTCATATTCTAAAGCTAATTCTAAAGCTAATCCTAATCCTAAAGTCTTAATTTTCAACACGATTGTTAATATTAGTCTATAACTATAACAGTTATATAGAAAATATATTACACCTATTGATATATATATATATATATAGTATATATTATTTTATAATAAATTATAATAAAAACATAAATTTACTATAAATTTTAAGCTCCAGATTTATTTTTTCAACTTATATATTAATTTTAAATTTTATGAAAATAAAATTTTATAACTTAGTGATTGCGCAGGGCCAAATTAAGCTTAATTCGGGCCCAGGGCCACGTAAAAATTTGGATATTATTTATATGATTTACAAATTTCTATAAATAATATCCAAATTTTCACGTGGCCCTGCAGGTAGTATACAAATATTTAGCAAAAATCATACACTAATATTTATTTTCTACTTGAAATGCTTGATATTTTTTAATAATGTTTGGCCAATTTATCAGATTTTTGGCGCCAATAGTAACGGGCACCCTAAATACATGCTTTGGACCTGTTTAAAATGACAAATAATATTAATATCATTTCGTTCCTTCCTGGTACGTATATCTATTTATTACTGATATCGAAATTTCTTGATTGTAGGTTACATTTATTTTTTTAAAAAAGTATTACTAATTGTATTAAAATAATTTTACTGGTTCATATGAACGTTTATACAATAATAATCGTTTTTATATAAAACAAGTATATAAAAAAAGTTAATTAAATACATAATATCTATACTACATTGTTTCTAATTAGATAATTATTTACATCTTTTTTTAATGAGTTGCTCTTAATCATGATTAATTATGTATTACATTGTACTTCCTTATATTATTTTTTAATGTATCACATTCATCACAAACATCACGTATAAAATGAAATAATTTTTCGTGAATAAAAAATGGTTCTATATCTTTTAAGTTCATTAGTAGTCTAACTATGAATAGACATTTATTTAACCTTTCTGTCATTCTTTTTTCATAACTATCGATACCAGCATAAACATGTACTGTCACTGACATTTCCACCCAAACCAAACCAGTTTTCCCTTGTCTTGATACCTTGAAAGTTCGAACAATTGTGATAAATGTGAACAAACTACAATTGCCACTTGCTTTCCTGGTGGAATGGTGAATAATTATGTTGTGGTACCGGAGAACTTGAGTGAAATGATCAATGGGATAGTCTTGCCGTTTTTATATGCTTATATTATTAAAATGATGCCGAAATATGTTATGAAAAAGTTAATATGTGATTCCCAATGGTTTCGCAGGCATTTATTTAAATAAAATTAGACGCTACAATTGATTGTAGAACATTTTTAGATAAATATCTGATATGTATTATCGCACTTTTCTATTTAGTTGGATCGACGATCTGCATAATGTTTTCTGAGTGAATACAAGATAAATAACTACTTTGTGTTCGTCGTATTTTTTTAAAAAATTTATTTAATAAAAAAGGGAAACATAATAATTATGAGTTCTACAAAATATAACGAAGTTGCATTGATACCCTTGTTGTAATCACAGGATTCACGGTGCTCAAAAACATTATGCAGATCGGCGATCCAACTAAATCGAAAAGATAAGTTTTTTTTAGCAATAATCTTAGTCTTTTGTTAAATTACTTTTTTAATATTAATTAGATAATCTCTGATTGGGAAGCTTGAGCTTTTATGTTTTCTATACGCTGTACAAAAAACACTTGCAGAGAGTCGTAAACTAGTGCCTATTCTTTTAGTTTTGAATAATGATGTCTTTAATATTGTTGGCTACACAATTTATACGCTGTCAGGACAATCGATGCATACAAATAAATTGTGTAACAATGCTCCCAATACCAAAATTAAAGCGATGAGTAGCGCCTAGGACGTACATACGTACGTACGTACGTACAGTATGTATTTACTAATTTTTACCTACGTACGTACCTTTTCTAATGGTCGCTGATGATCCTCATATCTGATTTAACGAAATCGCTGACACCATCTATCACATGGTAGTGTTATAAAATTCTTCGTTTGATTGGTTAATTCTAATCAATAAGCTTACTGTTGAGAATGCTTCATGAATAAAAAGTCACCTTTAAAGCAAATATCAAGAATCCGAAAAATGTATTGAACAAATAATTTTGTTCTAAGTTTCTCACTTCTGTGTTTATCTAATTGTCCGAAGCGTAGCGGAGGACAGTCTATAGTTTATGTCCGCGCCTATTTTTAGATTAGATGATCATCAATATGCTTACCAATAGCAATCCTTTTGTTTTTATTTTTATATTTTGGCCGGAAATTATTTTTTAGCTACAAAAAAAGAAAATAGGCGTGCTTTTATAGTAAAATTGGCTCGAAAATATTTTTCACTTAACAACTGTCTGCAGTTTCATTAGTAAAATTTTGTACAAATTTGGCCTAATTCTTTTTTGCTGCATATTTTATGTGCGGTGTCTAGGACAAATCTTTTAGTCAACACATTGTGGTATATATTTATCTGATAGTATTTCTATTCTATAAATTTTTTAACAAAATAAATATATTTAAAAATTATTTTAACTTTTTTCGCTTCGGAATCTAACAGCGCCTGTTTCCTAGTTCTTAAATAGTTACTTACCTTCCATAATTGTACAATCATAGCTATGCTAATATTACCTTTAATACCATTGCATTTCGTTTTATCATAATTCTAAAAAATTAATTGCATATTATATACTATATGTCATCATGTCTTTGCTCCGGTTTAGATATAAGATTCAGCCAAATTGAAACAACTTGACTATTACATACATGATATGAATTCATAAAAATGATATAGTTATTATGAAATTTCTCAGGTCATGTTTTTCATATTTTGCAGTATGAATTTAATTATAGTATCAATACCATTATTGAACAGATTAGCTGCTAACTGTCGAAATATAAAACTATGACATAAAAAGTTTGCATCTGATTATCCTTACCGTATTTGCACAAATAACGCCCATGGGCGTTACTTTATGATACATATCAAAGAGCTATTAATTGATCTAACCGAATATGACAGTTTTACTATTTTACTAATTTAATTATTAGCTCTCTTCAAATATCGAATTACGCCCATTCGCGTAGATACAGTACTATATTATTTAGGGATTAATATTTAACGAAGTAGAATCAAACGTTATGGATTAAAGGGATTGCTATGGAAAATTGACTTAAGGGCTCCTTTAAAAACCCTATAGGAACGGTATGTAAATTGGTATTGTTTTTTTCATCTCATCAGAATAGTACTGATGACCCATCAAGAACGGTAGTTTTACTAAGCTTATAGTTTATAATAATTCATTTACCGTAGTTTTTTCATTCTCTTATTAAAATTAAAACCAAATTCATTTGTATGTTTTGTAGAAATTTTGTTTTTTTGCAATTATAAGTCCTTAATTTCGAATTTTTAATAAATAACTCCGGATTTTATTTTTCAACCTACTATTATAACAAAAGAATGTAGTCCGTGATACACGCAAATCAATATCACCTAAAACGGAGTGGTGTAACGTTTAACAAAAATTGTCTCCGCAAAACAGACGAAGCTACAAGGTCAAAACTACCAAAAAAAAAATAAGAAATAAGATGCATTAATTTGCATAGATGCATTGGTAAAAATAGGTTAGGAAGGTAAAAATAGGTTAGGAAGGTACTTTTGCCTATTTCTAACGTTTATTTTAAAAAAATTTCAATGAATCTTTAGCAAATTCTTTAACTTTAGTTTATTTACCTAATTAGGAAATTATTTGGAACATAGAATAATGAATATAAATATGGTACTGTAACAAAAAGCATCTTTAATTTCGTTAAGCACAATTAATGAAATTCTCCGTTTAGAATAGTTGAAAAGAAATTATCGAGCAAGGGTTTTATATTCGAGATTACAATTTTTATCTTCTTATTATCATGCTACTTGCTTGGATATGAATTATTTTCATTATTTACTTTATATTTTCTTAAGCTTAAAATTTTCTTTAGTAATTTGCCAGAAAGTACCTGATCCACGATATGAATTATCTAGTACATTAGTTGGCACTAAACTTTATTTTTTTGGTGGAGCTACGTTTAATACAGTCATTAAAGATACCTGGTATCTTGACTTATCAAGTCCATTTAATACATCTAGACCTCCATGGGTACAAAGTGCTGGCATGCCGGTTGCATATTATTTTGGTTCATCGTGCATTAGCCCTGATAATTCAAATATTTATCTAGTTGGTGGAAGAACGTCTCCTTCAAACACTGTTTCATCAATATATGTATTTAATTCCATAACTTCACAATGGACAACGTCGAATGTTAGATCCAACTCTAGCTTCAATACGCGTAGTGAAGCTCAAGCTGTTATTAGTTATGGTGGGAAGATTTTTATTTTCGGAGGAATAAGTTATCCAACAAGCACCTTCTATAATGATATGAATATATTTGATATCATTAATACGACTTGGTCGACAATATCTCAATTTCAGGCTGTTCCTAATAAATTTGCTGATTATGCCGCTGTATATTTATCAGATGGCTCAATAATTTATATAGGTGGACGTCAATTTACTACATCAATAAGTATGGTTGATATGAATAAGGTATAATTTCAATGAAATTTGCATTTCGAATGTTTAACATTTTAAATATTCATTTTTAAGGATTTTTCTTACTAAAATACAGCTTTTGATATATGACACCAATTTTAATTCATGGTCTATTCAAGTAATTATTTTGATTTTTTGTTATTTTATTTGATAATTAAGACTTATTTTGTGAAAATTGTTCATATTTAGAATGCTAGTGGCGTTTCTATTGGTGCTCGCATAGGACATTCTGCTATTTTAAGTATGTTACATACAATTTTAAAACAAGACAAGCATTTGTTTCTAATAAAACCTGTATATTGTTTTTACGTTAGCCAATGATAATCGTATTATTATATATGGAGGTTCAAATTCAAGTGATTTTACCAAATTGACTGCAGTGACTCCTAAAGTTGCAGTGTTAGATCTATCTACCTGGATATGGTCCATTCCAGATAATTCTCAGAAAGGCGCACCACCATCACTTATGTTTCATTGTGCAGCATTGTATAACAATTATATGATTATTGCATTTGGTAAGCATTATATTATAGATTGTTCTATATATTAAGAATAACTTGTTAAAAGTATTCATTATATATATTTAGGTCGAACAAACTCAAATCTGTCAAACAACGTTTATATTTTTGATACAATAAATAACAACTGGGTTACCGAAACAGCTTCAACAGATCCAATAGCTTCTATTGCATATAAACAACCTAGTGATGCATTTAATATCGGAGTTGGAGTTGGCATCTGTGCAATTGTTTTAATTGGAGTTTTATTTTGCGTTGGCATTTGGTTTGCCAAAAGAAGGCAAAAGAAATCTATTAAATCATCTAAATCCGAGGCACCTACTTACGTAACACCTTCAACAGGAACACCTAATTCTGGATTCTTTGTACCCAGAGCATTTGATCCTACAACACCTACATCTGATGTGTTCTTACAATCAACACCTTCAACGCCTTCAACAAGAACGCCTAATTCGGTGTCATTTATACCCAGAGCACTTGCTCCTACAACACCTACATCTCCTTCAACGTCTTCAGCAAGAACACCTAATTCCGGATCATTTGTACCCAGAGCACTTGCTCCTACAACACCTACATCACCTTCAACGTCTTCAGCAAGAACACCTAATTCCGGATCATTTGTACCCAGAGCATTTGCTCCTGCAACACCTACATCTGATGAATTCTTACAAGCATCACCTACAACAACTGATTCATTTATGCCTCGAACATATATGCCCGGACCTAAACCTTTACCATCAATACCTACGACCTCTGGCTCGTCTATGCCCAGGAAATTTACATCAATAACACCCATATCTGAAACACCTTCAACAGGAGCACATATGCCCGGTTTATTTATGCCCCATAACCCTGCTTCATATTCACAAGAAACATCTGATTCATATGTGCCTAATCCATCTAAGTCTAAATATTACTATTAACTTAATTGATAAAATTAATTGTTACAACTTTTAATTATAGTAAATAGATCTAAAGTTTACTTAATATATATTATTAGAATAAATAGCGCAACATAAAAAATAGTTGTAAAAATAAATAAATAAAAATTCTATATTTTACATAGAATTACAATAAGTTGTAATATTATTTACTTTATTTATTTACCAAAATCAATATAATTATACTTGCTATTGAAAACTAAACCGAATTCTATCGTTTTTTTAAAAACATACCCAATTCAATGTTCTTTTTTGATAGGAAGCAAAATTTAAATAAAATTACTAATCGGATCATGTATTATTTTATATAATATAACTTTCTAATCGAGTACAATCTTTATATAAAAGAGCTTTATTAATTCATCTATTGCCTTAGTTTTGAAATAACCACCACTCATATTATATAAATCCATAAAGAAAACAATTGTGTTCTCATAAAGATTCTTAAATACAATTAATTGATTACAAATAATTTCATTTAGATATAAATATTTGATATTGTTAGTTTTTAGGGACATATAATCAAAGAATAGATAATAGTATATTCAACTCTACCATCTATTTCGTATCCCTCACATCTATTATGTAGATCCTTGCTAACAGATGTTATATATAGAGATTGTACCCGTAAAGAAGTTTTCTACCAGGATACGTATTATTAAATTACCTGTTTAAACTGGTAATTTATTATAACCATATAATAACTTTTCTGATCTTTAGCTAGTGCTTTATAAACCAGACCTGAATTAGATTTTAGTTAAGTTTGAGTTTGGTCCAATTTTTAGATCAGACTTATACTTTTAAATTCAGACTTTTTAGTTGAGTCTGAGTTTGGTTTGGGTCTGCAAAGTTTGCAGACTAGTCTAAGTTCAAATATATTTTATATATTATTTTTTGGTACTAAGAGTATATTTGAAAATTTTTATAAATCATATATATATTTGCTTAACCAACTCTTCTGGTTTAATTTTATTGATTCTTAAAAATTGTTGTTTGATTATATCATTTTTTCTGATCTATTTTATTTAACCAACTTGTAATTATTTCAATAATTTCTGTTATAGTAAGTTATTTATCAAAATCTTTATTTATATATTTTATTGCTAATTAATATAACAATCTAATTTTATACATTCAGGTCAAAATCCACTAATAATTCTTAAAACAAGATCATTATTAAACAGTATTCTATCAAATATTTTTTGTTTGGCCAAAATCTTTGTCATAACAATTTTAAGACTATAAATATCTAATATTCAAGTATAAGGTTGATCTATCAAAACCTCTGATGTTATATATATTAGAATTTTACAAATTTTTCCACCCTTTACTTTTTATGAAAGTCTAGGATTAGCAATATCGTATAGCTGTGAAATAACGCACAGGGGCGTTGTTTTGAATTTTGGCCTGAATTAAGCTTAATTTAGACCAAAAATTGAAATTACACTTCTGTATGTTATTTCGCAGTTATACAGTATCCATATTATGCAAGCTACTTTGCAAATATCTGCAATGTAAATATCTGTAAACAAGTTTTTGTGAATGAATTAATTCAAGATCCAAAGCTATATAGTGCAAAATATCTAATTTATCTTTACAAGATTTTGCCCAATAAATCTTCTGTTATATAATTTAAAACAATAATAAAGTTACTATAATTATTTTTTGATACATTTTTATATTCCAAAAATAAAGAATTCTTATAACAAATTGGTTTATATTTATATAATCTTTTATTCTGCCTGAATTATTATTGCACCCCAACTTTCTGTGCCAGGTTATGCATGCTGCCGATCATCACACAGCAATTGTCCAAGTATTCTAGCTATAA